TAATGTCTGCTCCGAGGGTTGGATCCCTGGAATCATGGATGCTACTCTGGCAGTGGGGCGGATGGGGGAGTTCCGCGCGCACCTGTGTCCTTCGTTTTGTTTTCCCAGTTTTCGTTCCGATCCTGCTTATGAGCGTTGTGTCAAAACGTGTCCTGGTTTATGCTAAGCCATAATGAGATGTATTTGATTTTGGCTTAGTGTGTTGTGTGACAATCCCATAAGATGTAGATTAATAAGCCGTGGTCGACCATGACTTAGCATGTTGTGTGAACCAGCCAGTGTCTCTTGGCGAGGGCACTGCAGCTTCTCTGGAGGTATGGCCATTCGTAGCCACTGGTTTTAGATAGCATCGATTTGTGAGAACTTTTGCTGTGTTCACAATAGCTGAGTTAATCATGGTGTGTTGAATAAGGCAAAATTGGATATCAGGCTAGTTTGTAAACCATGATTTCACACAAATACTAAAATCAACTCACATGACTCTGAAGATTAAGCTTGTGTAGGTTTCATAGAATCACAGAGTTGGAAGTAGCCATTTCTGCTATTGTGTTCACCCTTCTGCTCAGGACAGGAGCAGATTAAACATTTTAGGCCATATAAAATAGCTATACCTAAACTTTGGCATATCAGTGGAGGCATATGTAATTAAAGGCTTCTTATCACACACATCCCAATGCAGATTTTTACCTAGAAATTGGTATAATAATTAAAAGTGTTTCAGCCTAGCCTCTCCCCACCCCATTCCCATCCTGCTAATTTCTATTTATCCTTTTCCTATTCATTTTTGTGTCCCTTTCATAACGGAACACACTTTTGGTTGAGTTCCAATTTCATTGGGTAAAGTGGCATATATTGGACACAGGTAAAAGGCACTGCATGGTTTTTACACAACATTAATATGCAAATGATTATATATATATAATATATATATATAGATGCTTATAGGAAGCCCCTGGGATTCTCTGTTCACGTGAAGAAATGAGCATGTATGAAATTAGATAAATAGACTATAAACAGGTTGTATGGATTTTTCTATATAAAAGTAAGGTTCACACAACACACTAGCCTAAAATACTATATCTAGTTTGCAGCTCTGTTGTGTAAACACAGCCAGGGTGGTTTATGGCTTATTGTGTGGTGAGATAATTTAGTTAAGTCCTAAGTCAGTTAACCATGGATACACTGAGAAAAGAGATGAAGTAATTTTCAAATAAGGACTTTTTGAGTTCTGTAAAGCATACATGTTAGCATGCCTCCAATTGTTAGTCTGAAGTAATTCCATAAACCTTGAATAGAGTTGACATTTCCCCTAAAACGGCTGCAGGAAAATAACAATTTTAAGAGTAGAGGGAGACTCACAAAAAATACAGTAATGATGTATGTTATGAAACAGATTTTAAGTTTAGGTACAAGAATGAGTTTTCACATGATATATTGCACTGTAGGAAGAAAAACTCTCAGGTGTATACAGGTGTATCCTAAGTTTGTAGCAGAACTGCTCTTGTGCAAGGTTACCCAGTCCTGAACTTGAGCTTTGTAGTAATAGTTGGGTATCTTGTTTCCATTTCCTCTGCAAACATCACCCATCGTGTTGTGTAGTTTTAAAGGTTATGGTAGGATTGGAAAAAGTGCATCCCTAGAATATGTGGGACCAACATTTGGTCGTTTTATTTTATTTTAATTTATTTTACATTTAGAGGGTTTTAAGGAAGTTTTAAAGGGCAAAGATTCCCTAACCTTTAAAGGGCAAAAAGCAGTTGGTTAAGGTACACAGTTTACTCCCTAAAACCTCTAAAGGCCCCTCTAAATCAGCCCTGAATTTGCCCGCTTTTGTAGTACGTCCTTGAATATACCATACAAAACTTGATATTGCTCCCAGACCAAAAGGAGTTGTATAGCCCTGGATTATTGTTATATCCTTTTAAATAATCCTTATAATTTACAAAGATACCTATGAAATAATGTAAGAAATCACAATTGTCTTCTTATGTGGCTCATTTTCACTCTAAGCTACCCAAGCTTGCTATTATGGAAACAACTGTAAATGTTGTTGATATTGGTCTGATTTGTTATGGTGAGTTGTAATTTGTGTACATTTTTTCCAATATACAATTTCTATTCTAGACCACTTGTACCTGGAAAAATATGAATGGCTGCTATAGTAATGTTGATGTTCTTTACAGATCTTGAAAAAGCAGTGCTTTCCCCCCCATCTTTATTTGTATTTAGTTACTTATATGTTTAGAAATTTTACTAAATTTAATCTGGGATTGGGAAGCAAATTGGATAGATTTTGATGAATACCAATTTTGTGTCTGTCGTCCTTATATTATGAAATCAGATTATATTGCTGCCAGTGATCAAGGCTCATATGGCATGTAATTGTAGCACATGTATCTGTTTGAATGTGGGCCAGTCTGTTCCAATCACATTAAAAGAGGACACAGGAATCTATTTTTAAATATAAGAGGGGCATATTGGTAAGTGGAACTGAATGGTTCTCTCTCCTGTGAGCTACCTCTACCTGTTTCTTCTGGTCTCAAAGTCCAATGAGATGGAAAAGAGTTCAGACAACAGAGTGAAGAAGTAAGTCACTGGAAAAGTACTGTGTCTCTTTTAAAATTTGATATTCGTTTGTCCGTTTATGCATTTCATTATTTATTTTATAAACTGCTTCACTTTAGAGGCTTTTGGCAGTGCACATAATCAAAATACCACGCAGTGTAGCAACGCAATCAACAATAAAACCATCAATGCTAATAATATCGACATGGATCTTTCTCTTCCTGCTTAATCAATAAAGGCTTCCCAGAAAAGCCAGGTCTTAACTATTCTCTGGAAGGCTGTAAGAGAGGGGACCATTCTTGCCTTGAACAGCAAGGTGAAGAGATTTAAAAGGAGAGGAGCAGGCACCAAGAATGCCTCATTCTGTGTCCTCTCTTGTTATACCTCCTGCTACCACCTTCAGCAAGTGATCTCTATTCACTTGGGTTGAGTGGCTAGCGTTTAACCAGCACCTTGGATTATATTAAGAAAAAAATTAGTAACCAATACAACTCCTATAGCAGCAGTGTTATATAACAGAGGGAAAAATCTCTGTCCTCTCACAATACTCATTAAAGGACAATGTCTTGAAAATCCCCTGTATGTTTGTTCTGTAGTTGTTACCATATGAACTGCATGATGACAAACCCCCCCAAAAATCTCTTGAGATTTTGGTGTTCTCATCCTCAAGATCTTGTATAAAAATGAGATTATTCCTGAAATGGAAACATTTTACTGAGGCTGTGTTCATGAAATTTGCAATATTGTTCTTAGTAAAAAAAATTTGAGCAAACATTTCTTGGAAGAACCTATGTGTATGTTCAGCTTTTTGCACTGTTTTGTTTTACAGATGTTTGATCATAATAAGCAAGCTGATGAAGCCAATGTTAGTTCAGCACAAGGTAAACCTTTTATTCACCAAGAAGAAATGTGCAATGGGAGCTTCAGCATCTGCTGAAATACATTTTACTGTTCTGAAAGATAAATGGAACTTGGGAAGTAAGAGTATTGATTGATTTTCTCTTTCATTTTTTTTCCCATTCAGGTATGGAAAGGAAAGTTAATGAAGGTTCCTTATGGCAGGACAGCAATAGTAGGTAAGTTTAGTTTCATGTAAAATCAACAATCTCCAGAAGCCTTGATATGAAAAGAATTTATGAGTAAGAAATAGAGAAAAATAAGTTCCACTTAGCAGAATTAAGAATGTTAAATCATTTTAGGTTAACTTGACCAGATAGATTATCATGTTTATGGTGATTTTAAAATCTTTTTTCATAGCGAATAGGTGAATTAATTTTATTAATTAATTTGGTTATGTCCTGTATTTCTGATGGAGGACACCATGATTGGCAGATGGGAACAGTAAATACTTTGTTGTATTTTCTGTTTTGTTTTCTAAGTTGTAAGGACAGGATTTAATCTGTTTCATGTGAGTTGATTAGCATTTGGTAGTAGAATAAAAGAGAATGGTTGCTATTATTGATATAATTATTTTTGTTTGTAAGCATAAGCAAAAAGGGAATTGTGATGAAGGGTGAATTGTTCTGGAAATCTTCCCTCTAGTAAAGTTGGCTTCTCTAGAATACCAATAGAAGAGAATATATGTAGCTCAGGATTGAACTGGGGAGTCCTTGGGGTTCTCTGAGCTTGGTTGTTTTCTTGCAAATGTTTCGTTACTGTGATGGAATGGAATTATGAAGGCCAGGCTCAGGGAGATAAGTGTGTTCTTAGTTCACCGGAAGAGCGTGGGAAGATCAAGAGCATGAGGCTGGCACAAGATCAAGAGCATGAGGCTGGCACAAGATCAAGAGCATGAGGCTGGCACAAGATCAAGAGCATGAGGCTGGCACAAGATCAAGAGCATGAGGCTGGCACCTCCCTGAGGAATTCACAGTGTTGTGGCTGGCTGGCTTGGGAGCTAGGTTTGAGTCTGGGGAGATTGATGTCAGGTTTAGCCCAAAGAACTCCAAGAGACAATACAAATCCAGTTCTACTGTGTTTAATAGCTGCAACCTCTAGACAGAAAATCTCCCCAGACTGAAACCTAGCTCCCAAGCCAGCCAGCCACAACACTGTGAATTCCTCAGGGAGGTGCCAGCCTCATCCTCTTGATCTTCCCACACTCCTCTAGTGAACTAAGAACACGCTTATCTCCCTGAGCGTAATAATCTCCTTCGTAATTCCATTCCATCACAGTTACCCGGCTAGGTAACATTGCACTGTAGATGCTACCTAGCCAGGTAACGAAACATTTGCAAGAAAACAACCAAGCTCAGAGAACCCCAAGGACTCCACAATTCTCTAGAATATGTTAGAATCTCTATCTTACACTGAGTGTGGCATTTTGTTGGGTTACATTTCAGATCTACTGCCTTGGTGATTGTGTCCTAGGAGATGTTGAATTATTAGTTAGTTAATCTGTATTCTTTTTGTCTCAGTCCCCCACCCCGAAGAGTCTGAGAAATTAGTTAATGGTAAAAAAAAAAAAAAAAAGTTAAGATAGTGGCCCTGACTGTGTAACTGAAGTCTTGTCCCCCCCCCCTTTTTTTTACATGTTTTATATGTTTTTACATGTTTTTTTACATGCTCTTTGGAATATTCTGCCCCCAGAGGTGAGATTGGCCCCCTCACTCCTGGCCTTCCGGAGGGCTTTAAAGACCTGGTTCTGCCACTTGGCCTGGGGTGGGGAGGGAATACTTCAAGCGTGGGAATGGCTAGCCCCACAGAGGCCTGCTGTCTTCAGCCCCAGATCCTTTATCTTCTTGGACTCTCTTCCTCTTTTTTAGTAACGTTTTTTAAATTTTTATGTTTTATGTATTTATATGTATTTATGGTTTTAAGGTTTTGTGTGAGCCGCCCAGAGTCCCCCATTGGGGAGAGATGGGCGGGGGAGAAATTTGATAAATAAAATAAAAATAAACATGTGTTGCCCCCCGTGGACACTTCTGCAATCATCTATGTCAGACAGGAGCTATAACAGCAAGTCTGCCGTGCCTATCTTCCAAGCTCCTCCTGGTTCTGTTAGTAATTTTCCTCTGCCTGAATTAAAAGTAGTGCTTTTCAGTGCTGAACCAATATCTAGCATAGGCATACAATTTGAATAGTTGTCATAATCACTCCTTGCTAATGATGCAGATGACAAGGTACAATGTTTTTACTGGAAACTCAGGACAATAAAATGGCAGAGCTGAGTCTAGAGTGATGATGAGGGAAGAGTTGGTTAAATCTAAACAAGTGTAAGTTAGATGCCTTGGCTTTGAGTATGGCAAATAAATTATACTTTGTCACTATCATTGCATCTGCAGAGTAATGCAGCAGAGCTATTCTCATTCTAAATGTTTATTGCAAGGACATCAAGGAATGCTGTGGAAAATTATTCCGTTGTCTGCTGTGACATTTCTGTGAAATATTTTGTTTTTATTGTAAACTGCCCAGAGATGCTCTTTCAAAGTTACCTAAGTAGTTTTTATTAAAACAGCAGAAACTAGATGGAACTAAATATGTATCATAATAGCCAAGTCTATTTAAGGATGGATAGTACAATTCCTTTCTCCACTGAAGCCCTGGGCATTCTTTGTCCT